TCTAAGATCATAACCTGAGCCAAAACCAAGAATCAGATGCTTAACCGACTGAGCCACCCAGCTATCCCTCCCTGGAAATTCTAATTTGAAAAAAGGAATTGGAGAACGCTGAACTCTATTATTGACCTCATCACATTACAAATAAATTGAATTTTTATATATCTCACCACCTGGTCTGGAGAATCTTTGGAAATTATTCATAAACTGTTTTTAAAAGTGTTTTTTTTTTTTTTTTTAAGATTTTATTTGACAGAGAGAGGGAACACAAGCAGGGAGAGTGGAATAGGGAGAAGCAGGCTTCCCGCGCGGAGCAGGGAGCCTGATGCGGGGCTCGATCCCAGGACCCTGGGATCATGACCTGAGCCGAAGGCAGATGCTTAACGACTGAGCCACCCAGTAGCCTCTGTTCATAAACATTTTGAAGAGAACATTGTAAGAAATAAGGACTTTTATGGAAAGCTAATGCATGTACTACTTGTAGCAATTTGAACGAAGCAATTTGAAGGGTAAGCTAAGCATACCCTAGCTAATTTAAATAAATCTATCCTAAAAGGAAAGCGGAGTATGCTGTCTATAGTCATTAAAATCCCACTTTTTGCATCACATAGAAAGAGAATACAGCAGTAATGGTTGGTGTCCACTTTGTTATCTACACACAAATTTTGAATTTTGTGAAAACCTTAAAGTGGAAGAATTATAGTCTTTTGAACCATTATCAGCATGTGAAAAAAAGAGTTTTAAGATGTAAAATTCCTTGAATGAGTAAAATTTTTGCCACTAGTTTTACTAATAGTCCAAAAGCAAAATGATTACTATTCAATATTATGAATATTCATTTACCCATGAATAATATCATGAGTCAGACATCAGAATGCTGACAAAAATGGAAGACAATAAGATCCTCACCCCCCGCCCCCCCGTACACAGTAAAATGAGAATATTCAAAGAGGTACTGATGCTAAGAAAGCCTTGGTGTTGGTGGTATCTCTATACTTCAAGACTTGATCTTCTAACTCTGCAGGTCTGGAACTTCGGTTGCCAGCTTCGCCAGTGGATATTTACCCTGACCCCCAAAAACTACCATATTGTATGACATTGATTTGTACAAAAGACCTAAGTTTGTAATAAAACATAAAATTGTCAAGCCCTCTGATATTTATTTAAATCATTTAGTCTCTTTTATCTCACCATGGAAGTCTATTTAAGAAACCAAGTTAAGGTTGGTGAATATATATATGTAACCAAGGCACTAATAATAAAAATACTATTTCTTCTGGCACATAAGTACCTAGTTAGGGGCTGCTATTATTTCCCATAGTGCTTTACAGCTTACAGATCCTTTTCATATGTTTTATTGATTGTTTGATTCTCACAAGAATTATATCAAGTAGTGGGTCCAGTATTGTCATCTTCCTACTTCTTTTCCTGATGGAAAACAAAACAAAACAAAACAACCAGAGGCACAGAGAGATTAAGGGCCTTAATTCAAATCTCATAACTGATATAGTTGACATCTGTTGCTTTGGTTGGGCCAATTTCCTTCCTCCTTTTGGTAACAGGACTGTGATTTTCCTTTAAGGAACTACTGCTGTGCATTTTGTAGAACTCCTAACAGGACTGTCAATCAAGAGGCTCTGCCTCTCTCCATTACATGTGACCCACGTGGGCCCATCAGGATCTTGTATAGCCTCTGGATGCAGAGACTGGTATATAGGTAAGTATTGTGATCCAAGTAATTTAGCGTGTTTCTGTTTTTGTTTTTAAGAGAGTGAAATAAATGAATTCTAGGAGTGAGTTGGCTTCACTTGAGAACTGTAAGAACTATGAAAACCTGGAGAGCTGCTTTCCAGAGAAAGCTGTTGGAGTGAAGCCAATATGGAGGAAAGTCCAGTGGAGAATGGCGGGGGGGATGGAGAGAGAGAGAGAGAGAATGAGATAGAAAAAGATATTCCTGATTTCATTTGAGGAAGTGGATATAGCTATCCCTGAAGCCAGATCAACTCCTGGATTTTCAAGTTCAGTGAGTTAATAAATTCCTTGTTTGGCTTAGACAAGTTTGGACTAATTCACTTGCAATAAAAAAACAAACAAACCCTAATACAGCTAATAAAAGTCTTAGTTATGATTGAAACACATCTTTTGACATCAAACATATACCCATAAATGTCAAAAAGGATCTGGTGCTATTGTGGGAGACTTGAGAACTGCCCTTTTTTCAAGGAGACAACCTGCCTTCTGTTCTAGGTCCTGTTCAAGTTTTCATTTTTTTTTTTTTAAAGATTTTATTTATTTATTCATGAGAGACAGAGAGAGAGAGGCAGAGGGAGAAATCAGGTACAGGACTCGGTCCCAGACCAGGACCTGAGCTGAAGGCAGACGCTTAACCGACTGAGCCACCCAGGCACCCAAGTTTTCATTTTTTAAAAAAGATTTTATTTATTTTTTTGAGAGAGAGAGAGAGAGAGAGAGAGAATGAGTGGAGGAGGGGCAAGCAGACTGCCCACTGAGCAAGGAGCTAGATCCCGGGACTTGGAGATCATAAGCTGAGCTGAAATCAGACACTTAACCTTTAACCAACTAAGCCATCCAGGTGCCCCTCAAGTTTTCATTTTTAAAATAATATCAAGAGGATGAGAAGACAAGCTACAGACTGGAGGGGAGAAGGTATTTGCAAAAGACATATCTGATAAAGGACTGTTATCCAGAATATACAAAGAACTCTTAAAACTCAACAAGACAAACAACCTGATTCAAAAATGGGCAAAAGATCTGAATAGGCCTTTCACCAAAGAAGATAAACAGAAGCAAATAAGCATATGAAAAGATCCACATCATATGTTATCAGGAAATACAAATTAAAACAACTATGAGATGGGGCACCTGGGTGGCTCAGTCCATTAAGCGTCTGCCTTTGGCTTGGGTCCTGATCCCAGGGTCCTGGGATCGAGCCCCCAGTCGGGCTCCCTGCTCGGTGGGGAGTCTGCTTTTCCCTCTCCCCCTGCCCTCCACCCCGCTTGTGCTCTCTCTCTCTCTGTCAAATAAATAAATAAAATCTTAAAAAAAAAAAACAAAAAACCCCAACCATGAGATACCTCTACACAAGAATTAGAAGGCCAAAATCCAGAACACTGACATCGCCAAATGCTTGTGAGGATGTGGAGAATAGAAACTCTTGCCAGTGGGAATGCAAAATGGTACAGCCACTTTGGAAGACAGTTTGGCAGTTTCTTAAAAAACTAAACACACTCTTACCCTACAATCCAGTAATCTTGCTCCTTGGTATTTACCCAAAGGAGTTGATGACTTATGTCTACACAAAAATCTGTACACAGATACCAGCTTTATTCATAATTGCCAAAACTTGGAGGTAACCAAGATGTCCTTCCGTAGGTGAATGGATAAACTGTGATACATCTGAAACTGGTTATAAAGTTGAACAAAATCAAAATGGCTGCACTAATGCTTCAGCAAAGCTCGATTTTAAAGTAATCTTTTTCCTCCCTTCTGCAAACCTCCCCTCCTCCCTTCTTAGGGAAGGAAGCCAGTAAAACCCCAAAGACATGCGGAAGGAGGCCAGTAGCAAGTACGCACTTCCTGTCAAAACCCAGCTAGTTTCTGTATTTCCCTATAAAAACCTCAGCCCCTGCCTCCAGGCCGGCTCCCAGTTTTTGAAGGCCGTAGCCTGTCGCAGCCTTCTTGGCCAGCCAGAGCAATAAAGCTATTTTTCCTCTTTATCCCAAACTCTGACTTCGTCTTATATTTTGGCTCTGAAGCACGGAGGTCGGTTTTTGACAACACATCTAGACAATAGAATATCACTCTCTGCCAAAAAGAAATGAGTCACCAAACCACAAAAAGACGTGGAGGAAACTTAAATGCATATGACTGAGTGAAAGAAGCCAATCTGAAAATGCTACACACTGTATGATTCCAAATATATGACGTTCTGAAAAAGACAAACTGTAGAGTAAAAAGATTAGTGATTGCCAGGGTTTGGGGGAGGGACGGATGAATAAGCAGTGCACAGAGGATTTTCAGGGCAGTTAAACTCCTCTGTATGATTCTAATAGTGGTGAATACAAGTCATACATTTGTGCAGTTCAATAGAATATACAACACAGTGAACCTTAATGAAAACTATTGGGGGGTGGGTGGGTAGGAGGTATAGAGGAAATCTCTATACTTTACTCTCAATTTTGCTGCAAGCCTAAAATCACTCTAAAAATTAGTCTGGGGGTGCCTGGCTGGCTCAGTTGGTGGAGTGTGTGACTCTTGATCTTAGGGTTGTGAGTCCGAGCCCCATGTTGGGT